GTGGAGAACGGAGTATTGATCATCATCACTGTGTGTTGAATGTTCGTTAATTCTTGTTTCTGTTATTTGTTACACATAGTCGAAGTGGCAGCAGAGATATTCATTCCTCAACAGAACAAATAATGAATGCAAGCAACTATTTAGTGCTTTAATCAATAATTAATTAAGAAACAAAATTTCAGGTGCCTCTTCTTCTTCTCACAGCTTATTCTTTAAATGGATTAAGTTTGTTAATGAACAGTATGGAAAGGTTTTCTGTTGTAGCATTTCCAATATATTACTATACTCACAGTACACGAATATGCTATTCAGTAATTGCTGCCCAATATACGATTACTATCATTGCAATAACTACTATCACTGTAGCAAGTTTTATTGAACCAGCTCGACGTATATCTAATTTTTGTTTGTAAGTGACGACAAGTAAATTACTTTGAACAAATGGACATTCTGTTACTAAATACATGTTTTTTTTTTTACCCATTACTAACTATCGTAATGAGATATTTTGCAAAATAAGTTATGATTTTTTTAATTTTCAAAATTAACAACATAACTAACTCTTGCAGATTACAAAGTGTATATTCGCCTATTTTTTATAAAGCATTGGTACTAATGACCTCTACTACTTCATTGCTGAGTATTGCTTTTATGGTCACCATAGTTGTCATCCTGAGAAGGTATAGCTTTAAAAATTTGTCACACTAAGTCTTCATTTAGCTAAGCATAAAATTTATGAGAATATGTAAGACAAAATATAGCACAGACTTCTATAATTACTTCTGTAAGTTATCGTTTTTCAACAAAAAAATTCAAAATGTGACTGGAATTTTAATCATAACGTTATTACTTTTAGGAAGTTTGGCGCAAAATTCCTTTCAAGTCATTCGCATAACCGCGATTTATCGCAGTTTCTCAAAAATCAAAAACGATACACTCAAACAGCATTGATCTCTTGCTGTTTCACATTTTGTATGTTCTTTCTCTGCAAACGATTCTGATGAAAGCTAAGTTTCTTCAATAATAATGAAACAAAAATAAGTTTTCGTTGTGGTTCTCGGTGGTTAAACTATGCTTAAGCAGTATTTGTTTGATAATGAGACTTACGGACGATTGTTGTTTATATGTATTTTTAATTCTGTAATTAGAATTTTTATTTTATTGCAGTCCTTGCTGTGGTACCACCAATGGTGCAATATATTTACATATTGGATCCTACGTCAAGATCACGCACCATTGTGATCGCTTGCGTATATTTACCATTCCTGAATTCCTTCAACATGATAACCTTATTCATATGGCGTCAAGGCGATCTTCGGCGTGCAACAATTTACAGTTTGAAATGGCTATTCTGTGGACGGAAGCATCGGATTCAACCGACCACTGTTGTGGAGTTTTGAGAATGAAGAAACTAGGCCATTTTTTCAATAGTTGATTGGGATTATTTTTTGACCTAATCGCTTTTTGTTTCTACGGCAATTTTTATTTTATAAATGTTTCTAATTTCTTAATGGAAAAAAATTTTTGATTGATAATTGACCTTTAAAACTGCATGTTATAACTCTGATGACAATTTCGAATATTTTATTTGAATTATTATAAAGTTGTCAAATTTAGTACATAAAACCTCAGGAAGTCAATTATATATAAGTAACCACTGTAGATAGAAAATATAACCGAAAGGATCAATGTTCTCACTATCGAAATAAAGTATTAGCATTTAGCTTTCATCAATGTTAACCAACTATGCAAACCAATTTTGAGGTAAATGACCTATAGACTACAAAAGGCGTGAACCAGTATGTTTATATTTCATAGCAGAAATTTCAATGCAGTCTGTTGTTTTTTTCTGTTACGATTTAAACATATAGCGATTTATAGCGATCAAAAAGGCAAAAGTTTTTATTTCAACCAATTATGGTGAAACTTGTAGCTTGGAGTCGAATTGGACTTACATATGTTCCAAGTGCTTTCTTTGATTGTTTTTATAGTTGGTACGAATGCGCTGATTAAAATTTTTTTATAACAATTTTATTCGCTAACAACCATAATACATAACAACAATGCACTGATAATTTTGTAGAGTATCTACAAATACGATAAAGGAAATGTCGCAAAATTCGAATCCCGCGAACCTCCAAATAACTTCCAAATTATATCAAATAAAATTGTATTAATCCATAATACTAAAATTCGTTGTAATTGAACGTTAGAAATGTAAAACTGTTCCAAATTATATATCACGTAAGCAGTTATTATTTCAACACTCACCTTCCATTGTAGTTGAGCTTATCTGCTTGTCTATACGTTTTCAGCTGATAACAAAGGGTATGTGCATTGTTTAACATGTAAAACTTACTTCTTTGTTCCAAATCAAATTTGCTTACAATGTCGAAATATTGTATAGGTCTTCTAAACTGATAGTCAATCCTTTGGGAGGAAGCTACAATATTAAAACCCATCTCTTACTATATTAAGAGATCAACTGATAGCTTCTTACTCAATAATCATGCTCTTTTTGCAAGTCAATATCCATTATATAAGGATTCAAATCCTTTGTCTCAATCAGTTTTTACCAGTTTTTTCTTTATCAGCAAGCTACAATTCGGCTGCTCTCCCTGACGCACAATTCAACTCATTTTCCCTTCTTATTTATTCATTTTATCTCATTCGCAATTATCAATATTGTTGCTATAGTTATAGTTGCTAGCAAATAAAATCGTTATAACAGACCTATCACTCAACGCATTCGTCTATACCAACTACAATAACAAACAAAGAAGGTTTATGAGCATACAGAAGTTCAATTCGACTCTAACTCACAAGTGTATACAGACTGAACTCCCATATTTCACGACAGGAAACGAATAAATTGACGAAAACTTAAAGGATTTAAATGAACTGAATTAAATAAGTGATAGAAAGCAGCCGAACCATAATTTGCTGATGCAAAAATCTGACAGGACAGAGGATTTAAATCCTTAGATACAGTGGGCATTGACTTGCATTACATTGAGCAAAGAGCTGTGATGATCATTACTCTATTTAGTAAGAGATGGACGGTTTTAAGGCTTAAACATTGTTAGTTTCTCATAAGAATGACCACTGGACTAGAAAACCCTTACAATACAAACAAGTTTGGTTTGGAACAAAGGGGAAATTTTTAAAATATTGAATAACGCATATGCCTTTTGTTAATAGTTGAAAAATTCTAGACAAGCAAATATGCTCAACTACAGCGGGAGGTGAGTGTTGGAATAATGTTTGTTTACATCATGCAATTTGAAACAGTTTTATATTTCTTTAAAGAATGTTCAATTAAGACGTTTTAATATTATGGACTGATGCAATTTTATTTCATATATTTTGTAACTTATTTGGAAGTTTGCGAGACTCATTCCAAGTTTCATGACAGTCGCTAGGGTCAGTTTTAGCGACAGCAAGCTTCGATCCGACTTGTCTCAGTCCACGCTCCACTGAAATAATTTTTCACCTGCGGTTACTCCCAACCGAATTCTCTATTATGAACTATCTGTAATATAATTTAATACTATTTAATAATGCATATAACATCGAGTAATAGAGTTTTTATTCGACGATTCGTTTGCATTATCTGACCAATTACAAGGATTTTATCATTAGCCTAACAAAATCCTTTTTTAAATTCCTTATATAATAGGTGCATGACTACAGTGAATAAAAAATCATAGTTGGGTGTTTTTTATCTTTTATAAAGTGAGAGTCGGTTTTTAACATTACGTCGTTTGTCTACAAAAGTGATCATCAGATTGGAAAATCTCTACATTGCAAATTTATATTTTATAGCAGAAATTTGGATGCACTCTGTTGCTTTTTTCTGTTACGACTTAGATATAAGGTAATTTAATTTTAATATATTTTCATCTCTAATTTGAATTTAAATATATATATTTTTTTAAATTTTTTTTTAAAAATTTAGTTTAAATATATTTTCAGCAAACATCTCTAATTGAACTAATACCTTATATTATCCGCTCAAAAAGCAAGTGAAAATATTGTCATGCTGATTTAAGTTCGTTAACAGTTATTCATGTTTGTGTATCATTGAAGTAACATTGCTGTAATGAGGAAATATTCACACTGAACAAAAATGGCTTTATAGTTTATAAAAATTATTGCATAGTTTTATTTTCAGGTATGTTCAGCTATTTGAGTAGTCTCACAGCAGCCTACATCATTTCTGAAATCTACCAATTATTTCATACTACTAAATACGCATTCTCTTTATATGAAATATTAAAGTTTATTTTCGAAAGAAATTGTGCCACAAAATGAATCTTGAGCATCTTCACAACACTATTATAAGTTAGATGCTATTTAAGTTAAAGTGCCATTGAACGACTCTTAAAAGATGGTTATGCATATTTCTCCAAAAAATCTAATTCAATCAAAAGCTCTGATGGCGACCACAACACATTCATCTTCTCCCTTATAAAGGCAATCCGAAGCCGTCAGGAAATATTACTTCCTTAATTTCAAGTGCAAAATATTTGCGGAAACGAGTTGTCGATAATCCTATTCATGTTCACTTTTTATCAATACTTACACATCTAAATTCAAATTCAGATTTTTTAGTTTTGAAGTGTATAAAAAAATCAATATCTTCTTCTGCTAGTACTATTTACGTACTGTCTTACTGTAGTAAAATAAGGATCTTGTTGCTGTTGTTATTTATTTAGCTAAATTTCTGAAATTTTCGAAAAATAGTAGCTAATAGAAGCTACAAATTATACATATTAGCATCTATTAACAGTCTTTACTCCTGAACGTATTGGGTACGTGTTTAGAAATGATTCAAATAAAATTCTAACAATCAAAAAGATCCTCCTTCCTCCTATTTCGTGCCTAAACAAAGTACATTTGAAACGACATCATCCATGCGTGTGTGAAGAAATATACTATCCATGCAGAAAAACATTATTCATGCAAAAATACATTATCTATCCAGAAGCTCTACAAAAATGCGTCATCTATGCAAAAATACATCATTCGTGCAAAAATACATCATTCGTGCAAAAATACATCATTCGTACATCACTCTTGCAGAAATCCGTGCAGAAGTAGATAGACGATTAAAACTACGTTATCCGTGTAAAAATACATCATTCGTGCAAAAATACATCACTCTTGCAGAAATCCGTGCAGAAGTAGATAGACGATTAAAACTACGTTATCCGTGTAAAAATACATCATTCGTGCAAAAATACATCATTCGTGCAAAAATACATCACTCTTGCAGAAATCCGTGCAGAAGTAGATAGACGATTAAAACTACGTTATCCGTGTAAAAATACATCATTCGTGCAAAAATACATCATTCGTGCAAAAATACATCACTCTTGCAGAAATCCGTGCAGAAGTAGATAGACGATTAAAAAAACTACGTTATCCGTGTAAAAATGCATCATTCGTATGGATGTATACTTTTAATTCTAGTACAATAAATTTTATTCTTTGTTTTCTTTGCGTTTTTTTCGATTGAAAATGAATATTTTTCAAGGATTTTATCTTATTCTTATAAATGAAACACAATACTTAAGTTACGGTAATAAACCGCATTTTTGATATTATAATATTTGATCGAAAATGTAAATAATATTGAATTACAAGAAGTCATTAGCTTTTCCTCTATTTTATAAGTGAAACAAAATGCTTGTGAGATTTTTCAAAACTCCAAAATTTTTCTTAGCTTAATATTTAAATATGTATTAACCAAATTTAAATATTAACCTGCCAGAAAATCAGAAGACTTTTCCATCTGCTCTTTTTAATTGGAAAATGATAGTTTCAGCTACTAGTTTTAATTTTTTTTAGCTAAAGTAAAAATAAGTACGAATAAAAAATTCTACCATAGTAAGACTTTATTGATCAATCGGATACGCTAAACGAATTTAACAAAAGTATAAGGTAGAAATCAGGCTTAAAGAAGATGAAAAGAAATTATAAGAAGTTATGATAGATTAAACTTAATATTGATTAAATATTGTTTTCATTAAATCATTTTTTAGAGTGTGTCACTGATATGCTGTCACTGATACAATTAGATATTTTCAAATACTATTTGCTTTACCATTAAAAAAAATTTACTGTACTTTTTGCATCGTATTAATTAGCTTTATACACACATGTGGATTGTACCTCTTTTGTATATATTATAATAATTTACTTATAGAAATAATATTACCATTTTTGAACTACGAAAAAAAAATTTTTATTTCGATTTTTTTCTTCTCTCTGATTATTCTGCATTGAGAAATTTGCTTCCATTGAATATTTAATCTATGAAGAAAAATGTGAAGTTGAAAAATCTTACGAATATTTTGCTTCTTAAAAAAAGAAAAGCTCAAGGTCAGGAAAGAGTTTTAAAGCATTTTTAAGTCAAACTAACTTTTAAGTCTTTTTTTTCTAACTGGCAATTTCTTACAAAATTCCATAAAATTTCCATATCTCCGGACAATCATTCTCAGAAAATTTACACTTTCCACGATATAAAGTATGCAAAAGTTGAGCGTTTCAGGTGCTTTTCTAAAACTTGACATCTTTTAGCTATCATAAAATAGAAACTCATACACTTTAGTAGTAAACTATACTTTTTTTAAAATTTTTTGAAAACTTTAATTTTCGTAACTAACAAATATTAATTATTGTTAATGAATCTCTAAATTTAGCATTGCAATCTTGACCACCAAATGAGTCATTCCTATGAAGTTGTAACAATCATAACCTATAATTTGGGAATGAAAAAAAAAAGTATAAAAAAATTTCCAGCTATTATGATTAGATAATACAACGTTAATAATGTAACAACGCCCTTTGATGTTATGTAAAACAATTTGATATCTTACTCAACGCAGAATAATAATAGTTCAGAATTAATCAACTTATCGGAGCTATTAGCATCTACAACTTAAATTTCTAAAAGTTTCACTATTAAAATAATTATAAGTATTACTACAAACAAAATTTCTATAAATTATCTAAGAGCTATTAATTTCCTCATTTTTCGTCATTTTCTTTTGAATAAACATATTCGTAAAAAGTTTTTCACTAAAGTTTCCCGTGTTGATTTTTCTGCTTTCATTAGATTTTTCTCATTTGGCATCAAAGAATTAATAATATTAAATAATTATAAATGAAAAAAATTTTCCTAATTTAACTAGCAATCGGTTTGCCTCACTGATGCACCAAATATAAAACGAACAAATTAGTATTAATGAAAATAAATCATGCGAAGGCCTTATAATATGCTCATATTCAAAACAGATATAACAAAACAGCTTAATGAAATCAAAAAAAAAAAAAAAGTATATCATTTTTCAGAAAGATATAACAAAACAGCTTAATGAAATCAAAAAAAAAAAAGTATATCATTTTTCAGAAGATTATTGCCTCGATTACTTTAATACATTAAACGGAATAGGTAGTTAGGAAAAGAATGAATGACTTAACTTATGAAAAAATGAAAAGTTTGCAATCTGAATAAAGCATTATCATAAAATAGTTAATTAAGATAGTTAATGCTTTCTATATGTTGTTCAAGTGCGAAAATATCCAAAAAATTACTTATCGTAGGGATTTTTAAAATATTTTCTTCTAATTTGAAAATGATTTTTTACAGTCATAAAAACTTTTCTGCATTTTTGAATCGAACTTTAATGACTATTAATAATTTCGAATTTTGTCGGATAATTTCACATACATGAAATTGAATTTTCGAAAAGAGATCATTGCAAAGAAAATTGCTCACCAGAATCTAAAATTAAATAGTGAATTGAGTTTCCTTTTGTATAATATTTAATTTATGCTCAATTTCAATTAAATGATTATGACACTGAATTTAAACTTGAATACAAGCGGTTTAATTATTATGGCATTATTACGTCAGTTGTTGAGTATTTTTTTTAATTTGAATTAAGATCTTAAAAGAGAAATTGTAATTTAAGTCTGGAAAATCTTGGTGCTTTCCATTGGCTCATAAATTTTCATTACCTGTTAAATGAATCACTCTCTAAATCTACATTTAATAGATGCATTAATAAATACTTTGTATTTCTCGAGACTTTTTTTCTAATATAATTTTTCCTTGAACTAATTTAATTTATAACTTTTTTCTCAGAAAATCTGTTATTACATTTACGTTTTGTTAATGCCCTCATACTGATTCTTTCTAAGCATACAAATTAAATTTGCATTACTGTTTCAGAAAATCACGACTGCATGCGATATGAGTTAACTCCTTGTCTCAAATTAACTTGATAATAAAATTGATTTCAACAATTATCCATAAGATTTTGAATCAGTGCTATTGATTTGAACCTTTTCTTCGAAAAGATATGCCAACCAAAAGAGTAACATCAATGTACTTTCATCAGTACTGAGCTATGCATTTTTTAAGTTTATCATTCCCGGATTTATCAAAAAATATAAATGCAACTGGCAGACGATTTTTTAATATTAAGTTTTTTTTTAATTTTAATCATGAGATAATTAACAGCAATGCCTCCAATAAGGTTAGAACAATACAGAATTTTAAGATTTACGCAACAAAACATATACATAATTGTTTAAAATTCGTGCAATAACAAGATCATCTGTTATTCGTCTATTAAATATGTGAAACATATTTACTGTCTAAATTTTGTTCTAATTTTTGCTCCTATAATAACTATTTCTTATTAGCTGTTTGTGTAATTGGTTTAAGCAGTTAGTAGATTTATCCGTATTTTTATTTATTGTTTTCACAACTAATCAACAATTTCTATTTGTTAAAAAAATAAGTTCAAAGTCTACCTTTATCTAGATTTCATTTATAAAGCTGTTTAAAAATTCAATTACTCAATCAAGTAATTTGCGATCTCAGTCGATCTGTTAAATTATTCTCAATGCTTTTTATTAACATCATTTTTTAAAGTCTGAGGTAATTATCACTTCAGCATTTAGTCGCTTAGTACACAAATATTTTTATAAAAGTTGCTGCTCAGAATTTGCTTATTTTCACTGTAATTTAATTTATTTTCTCATTTTTTTAAAACAAAAAAGCAAATTCTTATAATGCAATATTAATATATATTTTTGAATGAAATCTTTTTTTTTAAAGCAAAAAGCAATTTAAATGGTTTTCATACAGTAAAGTGTAAAAAGAAAAAACAAAGGTTGCGCTTTTCTTTTTTTCTAATTATCAGTTATAGTTTTAATTAGCGTTTGATGAAAAACAAAAATTATGTCTGAAAATTGGTGCATACATTCATGCGTTGCTAGGAGAAAAAAATTGAAGACTTTATTACTTTTTAAATGAAATGATCAATTATAAAGAGCAGGTGAATCAAAATTTAAACTAGGATATAGATATTTCCTTTAAATAAGTCTAACAAGAAATGCAAAAATAAACAAGTACATTTAGAGTAATTTGTAATTGAAAATATAATGCATTATCTAACTACATTTGAGTACAATTTTCCACATTCAAAGTGTAATTCATAAATAGAAATTGTATTGAAATGTGCAAAATAATGTTTCGATGCAAAAATTAGACTTTTATAACAAATAATTTATTCAATTATATTAACATTTATATGATTTTATTGCAAAATGACGCAACCAATAAATGCAATATATATGGATGCAAACGGATATTTATTCTATACAGCAATGATTTGCTTTCGAAAATTTTTCAAATTTATATGACATTTGAAGTAAAATTTTCTTCTCAATTAATTATTCAGCAAAATAATCATTTATCATCAATTAGTGAAATGAACTCGATTACTATACCATCCATTAGTATTTAGCGTTGTTTCTTGTCTTTTTCCTTTCTTTGTTTATTTTCATTTTTTTCCATCTTTTGAGGTAAAGTTTTGACAACCACATCTTTTCTAAAAATCAGTCGTAATAATTATTGAGAATGTTGTTTACTTTTAGTTATTTACTTATTTTTTGTCCTTTACTTAGTTCCTTTATACTTTTATGCTAATTAAATAAATAATTTTTATTCTTTTATGCTTTAAGCTAATTAAATAAATAATTTTTATTCTTTTATGCTTTTATGCTAATTAAATAAATAATTTTCCTTTATGCTTTTATGTTAATTAAATAAATAATTTTTATTTTTTTGTTGTTATAATTAAAAAATTATGCCTGAAATGTAAATTTAATTATGTTGCTATGAGTTACGAAGCGGTGATTTTTTTCCTGTATAAAAATGAACCAACAATTAAAAAGAATGAATAATTACATTTTATTTTAATATCTGCTTAAAAAGATA